CGTTTGAATGGTAGTTTCTTGAACAGTGTATTGAAATAATTTCTGGAGAACCATGTGACGCTGAAGACTGAATTAATGAATCAGCTTTGCTGTTATAAATAAAAAATATTTTCAGTTGTAATAATATTTCACAATATTTTTACTGTATTTTTTGATCAAATAGTATTTATAACACTATATTTAGCATCATTTTACCCTGGAAATGAATTCCATAAAACAAACAAATAAAATAGTAAATTCTGATGTATAATAGTATACAACAATAGTAACAATAGTAAAAATCTACTACATTAGTGAAATAAAATAATCTAATACAATAGTAAAAATCTACTACATTAGTGAAAGTAAATGTGACCTCTTTCTCTCTTGATTGGCTTCATCACTCTGTCTCCTCTCCACCAATAAGCTGGTGTGTGGTGGGCATTCTGGCGCACTATGGCTGCCGTCGCATCATCCAGGTGGATGCTGCACACTGGTGGTGGATGAGGAGATCCCCCCTCACAATGTAAAGCGCTTTGAGTGCCTAGAAAAGCGCTATATAAATGTAATGAATTATTATTATTATTATTACTATTATTATTTGTGACTGCTGTGATCAATCTCTCTAGAGTATTTTTTTCCCTCTTGTGGAAAGTCATGGCAACGTGATCATGATTTTTTTTTTCTGTTATAGCAAATAAGAATGCAAAAATTATAATTTGCCATGGCCTTCCATTTACCTCTATAGAAGTTTACCACACTTTAGTTTACATCCATGTTGCAAACCTGTAAATGTAAAAAGCATGTCTAAACAAGTCAGGTGGCCAGTTAAGTCATGATTATTCCAAATTTGGTACCCAACAAATACGTTAGTCTCCTGTGCTGGCAAGGTAGCTGCAATCACCAGACATGTAGGCTACTTCCAGACCTCTAAGAGCAGGGGTTTGTGAGATGCAGGAGTAACAGGGGCAATCATCTCAGCAGGACACATGACTGCTTATCTGACATCCTGAATGCAGGTGCACTGAGAAAGTAGGAAAAAAAGCATTTCATCTCTGCTTCTGCTTAAAGCCCAGGTCTCCAGTGGCGACGACCCTACCTTGCCACATTTACAGAGCCATTACAGTGCACTGTAAGCCCTTGTTAAAGTGCACAATTTACCACCATCCACTTCCATTCCCTGCGGGCCAAAAACTATGACTGTAAATAGGCCAACAACATCAGTCGCACTTCTTCAGTTAAATTATTTGTTTGTTTTCCATTTGTGCTGCTAGATGTGCTTTTGAGTTTTTTTCCCATATTGTTTTTGGCTATTAGGTTAAACCATTTTGGACAAAAAAAAAAAAATGCATTAACTTTGGTTACATAAATGAAATGATAGGCCTGGGTTTTATTGGATGAAACATTTGTAAATTGTGCTGAAATTGCACATTCTTCATATCCTCGGTGTATTGGTTTTGACAGCTGTTACTTGGTCAGGTTTGACTACCTCCAGTGGTTTGTGGCAAGCTTTGCCTCACCACAGCCTAAATCACACAGGATTGCTTGTGCTGGTGTATTTGATGAGTTACAACAGGGAAAATGAAATATGATAAATATTTTTGTCAGTTGTGTGTGATTTATTATTATTTTAATACATTTTTATTTATTTTATTTTTTAAATTATTACAACCAGTGAATGTGTAGATAAACACAGGATGCACACAATGCCTGTGCTGTTAATTTTGTCTTTAATTAATGTGTTGTCAGTCATTATTGTCAACGTGCATTTGCTTAAAGTTGGCCTGTTAATAACTAAACTTGCAGCTGTAAGGTCAGAATTTATGATAGCAAAAGACCAGCTGTGACGTTCTCAATAAAATGCTCTTTGCAATAAAAAAAAACCCTTTTACTGTAATTCTATCTATCTATCTATCTATCTATCTATCTGTCTATCTGTCTGTCTGTCTGTCTGTCTAATCTATAGGCTACATGAATTTTATAAAAACTGGCAAAATATTAAGTAATATCCCAGGTGTTTCTTCATTTTGAATGTTTAAAAGAAATTTACACTCAAAACATTTTAATTGGTGATACAATTATGTTTATTCCTCAATATCAATTCATACTTTTTTTTTTTTTAGCAATATCATTTTAACTAAAATTTGCTAATCTGCTATTTGTTTGTACATTCTGTGCAGTTAAAAGTACAAATTGTTAAACTGCCGTAAATTTGTTCTTTTTTGCCATCGTATAAATAATCAAGGTATAGTTAATTAAGTTTCAGTGCCTGTGTTTGGCCAAAACATATTTCTAAAAGACTGATATAAGTAGCCTACTTTCTTTAAACGACTTGACAAGCATTATTTCTTTCTTTCTTTTAAATATATATATATATATATTTTTTTTAAAGATATTGCATAACATGAATGATCCAGCTGTTAAGTGTAGAATGCAACCGCACAATGACCAGGTTCGTAGCTTACAGAGCACATGTGAGCAGATGTTGGGTCAGGACAGGAGAAGGAGGAGGAGGTGATTCAGGCGGGTGTCGTCAGTGACGTACGGACTCAAATAAGTACGAGCGTCCAGTGACAGACAGAGCAGAGCACACTTTAACATGTATCCTCCTGACAGCTCATCAAAACACTGGCCATTTCCCCATTACACAGGCTTTATCAGCGATCAAATCAAGCAATACAATTCTCTTTTGGGATACTTTTCGACTCAGAAATCAAGCCTCAAAGTGGACCATCTGATGATCAACTAAACATCGATTGCAACAGGTAGGTTCACTGTCTTGCATCTCCCGTTTGTAGTAATGCGGGTAAACTTTCGTGCTTTATCAATCGCATTGCAGTATTTCATTCTGCGCGTGTGTTTGCTTACAGTACGCGTGCAGTGTTCACTATAAAATGACGCAAGCGGGTTAATTAATGAAAGAATGCAGAACATTTTATTCATTCACTTTTAAGCGGCACTACGAGCCATGAGGATGAAAGTTTTAACCCTCTGAGACCCAAGCGCTGAAACTGATATTTTTCTTCACATTGAAACAAACCACTCATTATAAAATAGTGATGATCATTATGTACTATGTAGCTATATTTATCTATTTCACAGTTATTTTACTCCGCAAGTAAGCTAGGTTTGGGTTTGAATATTACATTACAATATTACATGTATATTAGACTACAGTTGGTGAACAGAAACCTGACTATTTTGACTGTTGTCCTCAACTGATAAATATTCATATTAAAATTACTGACGAAGATACTGACGAATTAAGTCGTTCATCTGAATAACCTGTCAGTACTCAGTACATCTTGAAACTTGAAAAAAAGTTTTATTAAAATAATAAAACTACTCTCAGTGATCATAGTTGCATAGGGCTATATTTATTACCATTTAATAGAAAATAACACTTGTTTTAAGCGCATAAGACAAAAATGAAAGGAACAGCACAGAAAACTGCTAGAAATAATAAAAAATAGTTTACTTATGGTTCAATGAATGGGCCACATTAATGCTGACCTGTTGCATTTTTGCTACACTTAGAAAAATTGTAAGTTGATAGTTTTGGGGAATGATAGAGAGAGAGAGAGAGCGTTACCATTCAAATATATTTAAATTACTTGTAGAAACATTTGTTCCAGAAGTCGGTGTGGTGTCAGTAAATTTGTGGCCTTGTAGCTTCAGCAAGTGGTGACATCTAATATGCAATGTTCTTACAAAACTGTTGTTGTACAGTAATACAAATCAGTACATCTTGAAACTTGAAACATTTTTTAAATTAAAATAATAAAACTACTCTCCATGATTATAGTTGCACAGGCCTATATTTATTACCATTTAATAGAAAATAACGCTTGTTTTAAGCGCTTAAGACAAAAATGACAACAGCACAGAAAACTGCTAGAAATCATAAAATAGTTTACTTATGGTTCCATGAATGGGCCACATTAATCTGTTGTACAGGTCAGCTGCTGTTATGTGTAGTTTTTAATTTGTGACGGAGATACAAGTCTATAAGTACAGTAATACATAGCCTACTGTTTAGATTTCCATGAAATACGATAATAGTTAGTATCATCCACTGAAGAAATAAGGAATACACAAAAATGACCTCCAACAGCATTTTGCGCAGTGACTGTGGTGGTCTAATAAATGTAGATCTACCTTATGGTAATGTAGATTAAGTGAAATGCACGTCATTCTGCATAAGACATTCTTAAATATAACATACTGTGTTTACCATTTATTTATTTGGTAGATGGTTTTATCCAAATTGCATTCAGTTTAGTCCTTGCATTCCCTGGGAATCAAACCTATGACCTGCTGTTGTTAACACAGCGCTCTGCTGTTTAAACTATAGCACTGCATTTTAACATGCACTATATTATTAGAAGGTTCATAGTCTGAAGGGTTTGCATCACTCTCAACGGTGGTCTACCCCCTTGTTCCCACAACTCCTGCGCAGGGCATGGTTTCCGTCGCTCCTTCTCTCCCTTATCCGTTTTCCGCTAGAGAAGGGAGTGAGAGGGGAGATCACACCGCGGCCTTGGGCTTTTGTTTTTGGTATGCACTGCTGGCCGTTTTGCCTCAAGAGCACACATCATGCCAGACTGGTTGTCAGGAGAGAGTTGATGCAGGCAGTTTCAGTCTGTCCCGCTTTCCAAGTCTCCTCCTTCTCTCTGTCTTCCGTTCTATCTTCGTCTTTCTTAGCCTCCTCTCAGAAGAATTATAGGAGTAAGAGGGTTTGAGGTTACTAGGCTTTTAATGGGAAGAATAGTTTACCCATTATCGGAATGGTGGGAGTGAATAGAGGATTTTACTGTAGGTGTTTGTCCAACCTCTACAGCTGGTGAAAAGGTCACCCACATAGAGACATTTCTGTAATTGATATGAAGTTAGCACTTTACATAAAATTTACACTAAGAAATGGCAGCTGTAAATGCCAGAAATTCACCATAGAAATACAGTGTTTCCAGTGTTACCCCATGGCATATTGCTGCTTTTCTATTTCTGTCATTTTGCAGGTACTTGTGCTCTGTGCAGGGTATGTTTTGGCCAGTTGCCTTTCTGCACTAAAACAAGGGTTCAAAAGTCCTCGGCCGACTCACCGTTGGCAGTCCGGAGAGACAGTGTGGCTAACTGCCTCTCACGCAAGTACAGTCTACAACACTGTGTAGGTAAGATTCACTTTCACAGACGTCTAAGAACTAACGTGCCATTAGACAGCACTGTAAAGAGCTGAGAGAAATAAAAATGTGTCTTCATGCCTCGATTCATTTTTATGGATATTCTGTGTAAGAGAAATGTAAATGTTCCTGATGCAGATCTTTAGGCCTTTTCGAATGCAACTTAGTTTCATATCATCACTGAGCTGTACGCAACAGGCTGAAAGTTTATTAAACTGACCTAAAATAGGCAGATATGCAAGACACGCAGCTGCTCTTCAGTGTCCACAAGCTAATAGTTTCAAACAAATATCTGCTATTAAATTGTAGTGAGACCAGCTTTATGAGAATTCTTCTAGAGCATGGCATTAGCAATGTCAAGGCCATGGGTTCAATCCAGAAATTTAAATCTATAACTTAAATACAATGTAAGTCACCTTAGATGAAGCATTTGCCAAATGCACTTAAATGTAAATGATGTGTATACTGTGTATACAGATCATTATGAACGCATTTTATATGTATTTGTTTTTTGCTAAAGAATAAGAGCAATTAGACAAATATATATTAAGTGGGGTTTGATTGAAATCATTTTTTTTTTTTTTGTGATAATTTAGTCCTCCCCAATTCAATCTTGTCACCCAGCCTGCACTTTGAATGACTTGCCAGTAATTATTAAAGGGGTCATATGATGTTGCTAAAAAGAACATTATTTTGTGTATGACTTGTTTTCTCTAGTTGAATATTAATGACATAAATATTCAACAGTTTGGGGTCAGTATTTTTCCAAAAGTAAATACTTTAGGTGACAATAAAGACATTTATTGACTGTGTATTCACAAAAATATTAAGCACTGATAACAATAAGAAATGTTTCTTAGCACCGACTAAATCAGTATATCAGAATGATTTCTGAAGGATCGTGTGACACTAATCGCAGCTGAAAATTCAGCTTTTCCATCACAGGAATTAATGACATTAATATAGATAATTTAGTATATTACATCAGAAATCATTTATTGTAAATTGTTTTCATATTTTACAATTTTGCTGTTTTAACTCTATTTTTATATAAATGCAGCCTTGCTAAGCATAAGAGAGCTTCGAAAATATTTTAAAAAATCTTTCTTTGACTCCAAACTTCAACTGAAGTGTTGATAAGACAGTTCTAGTCTGATTGGTAAATACTGCATTCTGGCTCTGCTAAAATACACAATATAGTAACGGTTATGACATGAAAGGTATTCACCTAACTGTTGAGTATATGACTAGACAGTGGCAACATCTATGAACCTATATCTTCTAATGCAGAAGCTTTTTGATGCCAAGGACCCCTAAATATAGCTTTCCAAAATACAAAATTGTTTGAATAAAAACTAGTTTACACTGTGTGTGAAATGATTATATACAGATATTGAAACGTACTGTATTTAAAAGCCTTGACCACCACAGACCTTGACATTTTATAAATGCATTTGAAGTTGGAAAATGCTTTCTAGAATAATTATATCATATTTGGCCATTCATTTAAAAAGTTGCTGGTTAGCTGCTTTTGTTTGCAAGCAGTTTTTGAACCTCTTAATGCATTTGTTTCCAATAGGGCATTTTAATTGTGATTATTTGAATGTGCTGTTCCTCAAGAGAGTTGCTTATAACTGCTCTTTAGAAGAGATACAGAATGAATAATATTTGCAGTTTTTTCCTGTTAATCTCCCACTGTAAACGAATGGCTTCCTGTCGATTGTGCATTAGGCTGCAACATGTTTCAGTATCGATGACTGAGGAGTTCAACATGACTTACATCAACAGCTTCCTGTTGATGATACAACAGCACTGAACTCGTCCGCCTTCACCATGTCCGTGTATCCCGAGGGAGACAGTCCTCTGATTCAGCTGCAGGAAGTGGACTCCAGCAGGTTGGGAGGTCATGTCCTCTCTCCTGCCTTTAACTCCTCTTCTCCATCTCTGCCGATGGAGAGCCACCCCATCTGCATCCCATCACCCTACACAGATCTCGGCCATGACTTCACCACTCTGCCCTTCTACAGTCCCGCTCTGCTGGGTTACGGCGCATCGCCTCTGTCCGACTGCCCATCGGTGCGGCAGTCGCTAAGCCCCTCCCTCTATTGGCCACCTCATAGCCACGTTTCCTCAATTGCATTGCATCAGCAACAGACTCGACTACAACAAAACCATCCAACTGGTGGGAGTTGGGCAGAACTTACACCACATGATCACAGCGAAGAGGAAAACTGGTATGTGGAAACTCAATTATGTTTTATTTCAGACAATTACATAATACTGGCTCAGATGCATGTGTCTGCTTTCCTTTATAGCAAACCTCTGGTGAAGAGGGTAGCAGATGCAGAGGAGACTTCTACCTCTTTGAGAGGTAAAGCTGACATGCACTACTGCGCCGTCTGTAGCGATTATGCCTCTGGGTATCATTATGGCGTGTGGTCATGTGAAGGATGCAAAGCCTTCTTCAAGAGAAGTATACAAGGTATTGTTCTCTGAAATTACTCCTGTGCTTTGATGCGTGCTTATTATTAGGGATGCACCGAAATTGAACATCCGATAATCATTTTCATGTTATGACCTATAATCAATAAATGGTTGATCTTAAAATTCAATTAGTCTAAATTAATACAAAATAAAACACTAAAAACTGAAATCAGTCATTTTAATGTTATGGCCAATAATCGATAAATGGCTGATAGTAAAATTCAATTAGTATAAAATTAATCGAAAATAAAACACTAAAAGCAAAAAATGACCAATAACCAATATTGGCTGATATTTTTACTGTAAATTCAAGCCGTCTGAGTTAATTAAAAATAAAAGCTCATTTTGAATTCTTTAATTATTTATGCAATTATTTATGCAAATGTAGGCTTCCCAGCATTATAATGTAAAGTATGAAAAAGTGATATTCATTTTGTGAGATTTGCTAAAGATTACATTTAACATTGTTTTTCAATTTAAAGATTGAGACTGTGTATTTTGTTGATGATGGGTAATCTAAATGTAAAAATAGGGAAATTAGCATGCTTATGTTATATACAATAAAATGTACAGTTTTGGTAAATAATACTGATATACTGTACTTTCCGTCCCTACTTTAAAATTTAAGATTAAAAGTTGAAATCGGTTACATTGATAGAATTTTCAGCATTCAAAATGGAACTGAGAGTGATGGGTCAAGGTGTCATCATAAATTTGCATTTGTGATTGGACTTTTATATTGGACTTTAATATGTGATTGCATGCTGAATTGTCAACGGTCTTGTCTTCCTTGCATGTATTTAACCATAATTAGCCATCTTTACAGTGTATAAAGATGCCTTGACAGCCACATTATCCTTCAGAAATGGTCATTTAACTCTGGAATAATTGATTCTAATGGTTATAAACTATTCTTTTTTTCATTGTTCCAGACAGCCAATGTTGTAGATAGCTGTGCTAGTTTAATGCCTCTGTAAGGCCACTCTGTGTTACAGTCCATAAACATAGTAACAGACGTGTTTGACTGCAACTGCTCAGTGGATAATAAGGAACATCTGATTCATTTTCTCAGGACACAATGACTACATCTGCCCTGCCACCAACCAGTGCACCATCGACAAGAACCGCCGCAAAAGCTGCCAGGCCTGCCGTCTGCGAAAGTGTTATGAAGTTGGAATGATGAAATGTGGTGGGACTCTTTCGTTTTCCATTCCTCCCTATCAACACCCTTTCTACACCCACACAGTTACCAAATACTTCATCTGAGATTACTGCTGAATTTTGTCCAAAGCCATGGACTTTGGAATTTATGTCCCAATATTAAGCAGCTATCATGCCGTGAAGTTTTGATATGCGTCACCATTGTAATGACAATGTGATAGAGCCCTGATTATAGATGCTGGTTAAAGGCTGCACCAAAACATCCCAGATAAATGACTCATCATACAAAAGATTTCACATATTAATAGTTCACACATATTTGAGCCAGACAGTCTTGCATGTTGTCTTTTGAGCTGTGTGTGATCTTGGATGGCTTGTTCCTCCAAAAAACAGTGCTAGTTGAATTAAGTCTGTGTTGCTGTGGAGACTGTTACCATCTATCCTCATTCGGTCTTGTAATTGTTGTTTTAGGTCAGTCTACTTTCACAGCTTTGCTTCAAGGTTAGAATACTCTCATCTCATTGGCTGATGTGGTTGTTTTGAGCTCTGTATCAAATGTCATATCAAATACACAGTTTTGTACACAAATTTTGCTTTGCTTTCTGTTCAAAGAAATTTTGGTTTAAACTAGTGGTTCTCAACCTTTTTGGCTCTTTGTCCAACACATTCTTAATATTAATAAAAATGAATTTTAGTATAATCCTGTAAACCCGCGTGGATAAGGTTAAAGTGAATTGTGCAGTTACATGGAATTTTTTCACAGGGTTACGCCGAGATCGTGGCAGCTACCAACAAAGAGGAGCACAGCAGAAGCGATTGGCACGATTCTCAGGCAGGATGAGAACATGTGGCCCGAGATCCCAAGAAATCAAAAATGTCCCATGTCCCCTCGGTGGGAATAAGGGGGTTAGCATAGCGTTGAGCCCTGAGGAACTAATCGCTCGAATCATGGATGCAGAGCCACCCGAGATTTTCCTCATGAAAGACGTGAAGAAGCCATTCACTGAGGCCAATGTCATGATGTCACTGACCAACCTGGCTGATAAAGAGCTCGTTCACATGATCAGCTGGGCCAAGAAGATCCCAGGTGAATGTATTACCAGATTCATAAGAAAAAACGATTCAGTTATAACACTAGCTCAGTGTGTTACTACATGGCTGTTTCCAAAAACACAAATCTGCCTAACTGCAAATCCACACGGACAAGAGCTCGTCAGTCATAGCGTCAATTTGTAGACCAAACCTGCAAAGCTGAATCACTATGGATTCCCCCTGGAATTTCGAATGGGTTTTTAAAATAGCATTTTTCGATTTATGAGTACAGTAAGGGATGTGGTTAACATTACTTGAAGAGAATGTGTCATCTTCTGAATTTAGGACGAATTACAATTATTACATAAGGTTCAAACTAACTTTATAGTTAAGCTGTGCTTTTAAAATGTTGCTAACAAGTTGCTGCATGAGGTGTACAACAGTTGAGTTTCACTTCATTCATCAAGCACGTAAACTCAAATGTTTGTTCTGTATCGCAATTTGAACATTGTAAGCCATCAATCAAAACTCACTATTCTAAAAAGCTCATTAGAAATTCCTGAGGGAATATGTGGCTCAATAATGCTAATTCACTTTATAGTTTAGGACTGCAAAAAGATCTTAATATTGAACTTTTGTAGTGGATGGATTAAATAGATTTAACATTAAACTTAATGTTTAATGTACACACACACACACACACACACACACACACGTATGCTGTATATCAAAATGATTTACCATTTAGCAGCCTGAAAGAACCGAAAGAACCTGCAATGAAAGAACCGTAAGAGGCCTTTTCCTCTAAATTTGTTTTAATGTACTTGATGTTTTCTGTTTTCTTGGCTGATTTATCATTTTAATTAATACTTGGCTTTTGAGATGGGAGAGTCTTTTATTAGTGAATCATCCTGTTCTGATTCTGAACATGAACAGTTTGTTTATTCTGAGAACATGAGCAAACTTTTCAAGTTATTTTAGATCCCCAGGCATGAGCGTCTTGTACGAAACTGTGTTTGGATGTGTATGGAGTTATTAACAAGTGCTAATTTCTCACTTCAGGTTTTGTGGAGCTCAGTCTTTTTGACCAGGTCCATTTGTTGGAGTGCTGCTGGTTAGAGGTGCTGATGCTGGGACTGATGTGGCGATCCGTTAATCACCCTGGAAAGCTCATTTTCTCCCCAGACCTCTGTCTCAGCAGGTAACTAGTGTCAGTTAATTGTGTTTATCCTTCCCATTGCCTAATTTATGAGCAGGCACATCTATCTCTCTGTGCTTTGAATATTTTTTTTATTCTCATGTGCTTTGTATGGCCAGTATCTTTTTTGCAGCTGTTAGTTTGTTCTGTGTGCCAGTATGGTATAAGAGACGATTTAAGTCACTGATTACATGTTGGTAACATTCAGATTTACAGACTTTAGTTAACCCTCTGGTCACTTCAAGGTTGAAAACCATTTAGCCATGCTTATTTAAAGTTAGCATGCCAACCTAAATATAATCAGTCCATGACATGGCGCCCATTTTTTCATAAAAAAAAAAAAAATGTATTCATACATAGTGACCTGAATACATATATTCTATGATGAGCATGTTTTAATTCCTGAATTAAATGTAATTTTTATATTTTTGGGAGGACATAAAATTCAAAATGTCAGGGTGATGCAACTTGCCACCTTTGTTTTCACTGGAATTTAAAAACATTCTTGTTTTTATAATGTAATATAAAATTATAACATGTGGCTTCTCGCACTGCAAAAGCTTGGTATAACTAACTATGTATTCATAACAGTTGTGTTTGTGTAGAATATAGCATAATATCTTAAGAATACAGCTGTGAAACAAAATCAGCGGTTTGGCCAGATGTGTCAGAGCGAGTGTGAGGCTCTGTGTGGTGGGAATTAGAGAGCTGTGGGAAGACAGGAACTGATTCTGTCATGGCTTGTGTATTATCACACCCCCTCTACACGTATGCTGTATATCAAAATGATTTACCATTTAGCAGCCTGAAAGAACCGAAAGAACCTGCAATGAAAGAACCGTAAGAGGCCTTTTCCTCTAAATTTGTTTTAATGTACTTGATGTTTTCTGTTTTCTTGGCTGATTTATCATTTTAATTAATACTTGGCTTTTGAGATGGGAGAGTCTTTTATTAGTGAATCATCCTGTTCTGATTCTGAACATGAACAGTTTGTTTATTCTGAGAACATGAGCAAACTTTTCAAGTTATTTTAGATCCCCAGGCATGAGCGTCTTGTACGAAACTGTGTTTGGATGTGTATGGAGTTATTAACAAGTGCTAATTTCTCACTTCAGGTTTTGTGGAGCTCAGTCTTTTTGACCAGGTCCATTTGTTGGAGTGCTGCTGGTTAGAGGTGCTGATGCTGGGACTGATGTGGCGATCCGTTAATCACCCTGGAAAGCTCATTTTCTCCCCAGACCTCTGTCTCAGCAGGTAACTAGTGTCAGTTAATTGTGTTTATCCTTCCCATTGCCTAATTTATGAGCAGGCACATCTATCTCTCTGTGCTTTGAATATTTTTTTTATTCTCATGTGCTTTGTATGGCCAGTATCTTTTTTGCAGCTGTTAGTTTGTTCTGTGTGCCAGTATGGTATAAGAGACGATTTAAGTCACTGATTACATGTTGGTAACATTCAGATTTACAGACTTTAGTTAACCCTCTGGTCACTTCAAGGTTGAAAACCATTTAGCCATGCTTATTTAAAGTTAGCATGCCAACCTAAATATAATCAGTCCATGACATGGCGCCCATTTTTTCATAAAAAAAAAAAAAATGTATTCATACATAGTGACCTGAATACATATATTCTATGATGAGCATGTTTTAATTCCTGAATTAAATGTAATTTTTATATTTTTGGGAGGACATAAAATTCAAAATGTCAGGGTGATGCAACTTGCCACCTTTGTTTTCACTGGAATTTAAAAACATTCTTGTTTTTATAATGTAATATAAAATTATAACATGTGGCTTCTCGCACTGCAAAAGCTTGGTATAACTAACTATGTATTCATAACAGTTGTGTTTGTGTAGAATATAGCATAATATCTTAAGAATACAGCTGTGAAACAAAATCAGCGGTTTGGCCAGATGTGTCAGAGCGAGTGTGAGGCTCTGTGTGGTGGGAATTAGAGAGCTGTGGGAAGACAGGAACTGATTCTGTCATGGCTTGTGTATTATCACACCCCCTCTACTCCTCTGCCCTTTGTACCCTCTAACATGGTGTGTACCAGTGTTGTAATGTGAGAAAATAAATGGGCCAGGGTTACAGATGCTCCAGACTTTATGCTGCGCTACACTTCCAAACCATTCCAGTCATGGGTGGGCTGTAAATATGCTCACCATCTGATATGCTGCCAGACATTTACTGTATTTTCATTGGCTGCATTTTGGATAAGGAATTCATAGCCAACTGGATCCCTGAGTTTAACTCGGTGTGCTGCTTGTCAACATCAAAAAAGTGCCCAAAAAATAGAATATGCCTGCTCTCTAACAACAGCTGCCATTAATGACTCTCAGTATTATTCGACAAATTCCCCAAAATAATACTTAAATATGGTAATGAAGTACAATGGCGTTTGGGTTGTGACAAAGTCTTGTTTAAAGCTAAATGGAAGTAACTTTATCTTTGTTCTCTCTGTTCTCACAAGTTTTAATGAAGTGTTAATGCCGTTCCCAGTCTCATTCACTCCTGTAGCACCTCTCAGCGTCTAAGAGAGCAGAAGTACTCTGATTTTCAATTGACGCTTTATACAGATTTCGCCATTCGTATTTTCAGTAGGTGCCAGGTTTGGAATACGACTACTGAGGTTTGAGAGTGAGGCCTGGTACCGGGTTTCTGATGGTGTGAAGCTCATTTGCGAGACTGCTAAATGTCTTTGTGTTTGTCAGGGATGAAGGCAGCTGTGTGCAGGGGTTTGTGGAGATCTTTGATATGCTGCTGGCAGCCACGTCCAGGTTCAGAGAACTGAAGTTACAGAGAGAGGAGTATGCGTGTCTCAAAGCCATGATCCTGCTCAACTCCAGTGAGTGTTCTTCTCATTAAAAGTTGTATGAAATGTGCATGCATTTTTACTGCTTGTAATTACTAAAACAAATGTATTTTTATCAGAAACAACGAATATGTATGTTTGTTGACTTTCCCCATAGAACAGACAAATCACAGTGGATTTCAGTCTAATGGTTATTTCTCCTAGACAGCAAAGAGATGAAACAGAATGTATTTACAATACAATCTTAAAAACAACATTCTTCATTTACACTCTCTTTACATTCTCTCTTGTACACACTGCTTTTTTTTTTGTTTTTGCTGTTTTTTTTTTCTTCACATTTTTGTCACGTAACCCATGATGCCATACTGTGGCTAGTAAAGTGCAAATTTGAGGATTCAATAATATTTCATCTTAATATTCAATATTAATCCATAAATAACTTTTTAATCATAAAATATTTTGTCGGATTTATATTTTAAGGTGTCATTGTTACAGTGTAATTATACATTTAAGTACCGAGTAATATTAATTAACTTAATTAATGTACTTACTATATGGTTAGGATTAGGATTAGGGTTTGGTTTAGGGCATGTAATTATGCATAATTAATTGTTTTTATAATAGTAAGTACATGTAGCATGTGCAACAAGTACATCTTAAAATAAAGTGTTACCGTACTTTTTGTATATATTTACCTTTTTAAATGTTTTTGATTGAAAGAAGTCTCTTATGCTCACCAAGGCTGTTAAATATAGTAAAAACTGTAATATTGTTCAATATTATTACAATCTAAAATAACCTTTCTATTTTAATGCATTTTAAAATGTAGGCTAATTCATTCCTGTGATGACAAAGCCAGATTTTCAGCATCATTACTCCAGTCTTCAGTGTCACACGATCCTTCAGAAATCATTCTAATATGCTGATTTGCTGCTCAAGAAACATTTCTTATTATTTTCAATGTTGAAAACAGTTGTACTGAATATATATATTTTTTTGGAAACTGACATTTTTCAGGATTCTTTGATGAATAGAATGTTCAAAAGAGCCGCATTTCTTTGATTTGAAACAGAAATCTTTTATTACGGTACATTGAAAAATTTGTTTGATTAATTAAATGCGTCCTCGCTGAATAAAAGTATTCATTAAAAAAGAGAAAAACTTACTGACCCAAAACTTTTGAGGAGTAATGTATACCTTTTTTTTTTAATAATCAGTTAACAATGTTAAGTATAGTAAAATTTACTGCAATATGCAAAATAACATTTTGAAAAAAAAAAAAAAAATGTGAAGCATAAAAGATTTATTGGTAAATCTGACAAGATTTTAAATCTTTTGACTGTTCTATAATTGAATTAATGATGGATTTTTTTATGTTTTAGCAAAGATAAACTGCAGGCTAAATTGAAAAAGTCAGCAAATGTATACATTCTGTCTCTAGCACTCGATTGTAGTGAAGTTGGGGGAAAAAAATCTAGTATAGTGAACAGCTGTCATTTCATCCACAAACATACTCTGAGCAGTCTTTTGGTTCTGTTTATCATAAATGAGTACCATGACCTAGCAATTATGCTCCAGACATATAGCAGTGATTCGCACATGGGAGAAGTGGGTTCGGTTCCGGCTGGTGTCATGCAGCGATCAGACTCCCCTTCATTTGCTGTCCACTTACTGTCTCTATCATCAAAAATCCAAACAAATTGCTGACCTCCACAAAGCCGTAATAAATAGTGTTCAATCGAGGCCCATAACTCAGAAGGTTACTACAACTGTACTTGCTTTAATGTGAAGGGAGTGTTGGCAAGGCCAGGCAAGAAAAACGCTCACACACTGTATAAAGTCTTAACGGGGACAACATGCCTTTGCTCCACGCATTCAACCCAAGTATCCATTACATAGCAAACGCTTATGCAAGTAACAGGCAGTACCTGCTTAGTGTTTATTGTTTGAAGGAACCAGTATTTCTTCCTGCTCTGATTCCTCTGAACTTTTGATCTGTCTTTTCCTCGTGCATTATCTCTTCATTCTCAGCCCCCAACAGCTGTCTTCACTTTGTCTCCTCGGTATCACTTATTTGATCGCTCCAGATGTGTTGCGTTGTTTTTGAATGGGATATTCTTTGGTTTGGATGCTTATTTGGGTATCACCCTCTATTATTTCAAACGGCTGTAAATGTCAGTGTCTCCCAGATTTAATCTCTGCAAACCTGCGCTTGTGCTTTATTGCAGACATGTGCCTGAGTTCGTCGGAGGGAGGAGAGGAGCTGCAGAGCCGGTCGAAGCTGCTGTGTCTGCTGGACTCGGTGACAGATGCTCTGGTGTGGGCCATCTCCAAGACAGGCCTGAGCTTCCAGCAGCGCTCCACCAGACTAGCTCATCTGCTCATGCTGCTCTCCCACATAAGGCACCTCAGGTACAGACAATAAAAACCTGGAATAAGGAACTTTTGACTGCACATCATGCTGGATTTTCACTTAGAAAAGGTGGCTTGTGCTTCTTACACAGTATATGAAGACTGCAAAATGTATTTATTTATTTCTTTGCTCAAGATGCAAAAATCATTTGCAGCTAATTAATCTCTGATTACAGTTACAGTTTATTTAGACATCTAGTCTGCTACCCATCATATTTTTTTTGAAAAGATTATGATCAAGCTGCACAACGGTTGTGCAAAGCTAGTAATGTAGCCAACTATTGTTTCCAAATGGTTCGCTTGTATTAAATACTCTTTAACCAATGATCTTATAGCTTGTCTCTATCATCTAACTATTTGTAATTTTTGATCTTCCACTGACTGACTGTATATGTTCCATCTGTAGTAACAAAGGCATGGACCACCTCCACTGCATGAAGATGAAGAAGATGGTTCCTCTGTATGACCTGCTTCTGGAGATGCTGGACGCTCATATCATGCACGGCTCCCGTTTGTCTCACTCCGGCCCTCGAGCGGCTCCTGCTCCCAAAGAGAGCAAAGTCGTCCAGGAGGCCTTCGCCAGCACTTCTCAGCATGGAGGGACCTTAGCACCCTAAACCATTTCTGGTGAGACATAGAAAGGGTACTTTCTTTCATAATGCAGGTATTATGACGTTGAAATAAAGTTTTACTGATGGAAATAGCTGTTTTATAAAATATTTCGTTTGTACATTCATTTCACAGGATGTTGCCAGCTAACATTCTTCCATAAATCTTAAAATAACTACAAGCTGAAAAAAAATATCACGTTAAATTGCTCTTCTTTCTCTCCAGCGCTGAAGAATGATCTATAGTTTCTGGAGAACGGACAACAAAAACAGCCACACAAAAGAGTGGAATAGGATTACTCAAGATGGAAAACTTTTTAAAAAATTTGGCGTTTGCTGTGAAATGCTCCGTTTTTGCAGAACTCATTCTGAGCACAATTGTTTGGTTTTATGTAGCCGGAACCACAAAAAAGGAGAAACAAAACCATTTCAGAATTGATAAATTGCTGGTCGTTTGAAAACGGTTTACTATTTGTTTCGATTTAGAATTTCAAAAGCATTTTTGAAATGTAACATGCACGAGAAATTCTGACAGCATCACCACATGCACCCATTCCCATGAAATCCGCGCCACAATGAAATGTACAGTTTCTACTTTACCATTTTCTCTTTCTAAACAGTACATTTGCAACTCTCGCTTTTTGCAAAAGAAAAACAGCATCACACTGATGCCCTCATCAAGGACTTGTGATTGTCACACTGCAGTAATTCAGGACAGTTGGATGTTTTGTGTGCATCTATTACTTTTGACAAAACAGATCATGGAGCAAAATGTGTTTTAAAAAAACAAACTGCCTTCTTTCGTCCTGCTCTCCTCCACCCAGTAAACCCCTTTAACACCATAAAGGCCTTGTACAAAACCGTCATACATTTTCTAGAGACAGCTCAATCTATTGCTACTATTCCACTGTGAAAACCTTTCTGGTTGTAAGACGCACCACAACTACCAAAAAAAAAGTACTTGTGATATTGCACTTTAATAGTTCTCTGACACATCTGAAGCCCTGTTTTGAGAATCAAGAAAAATGAAAATATTGCAGTGCCAACAGTGATGATACCCTATACATTTTGGTTTAAGATGACAGTTATAAAAAAAATTTGTATCCATGGATTAATTGATATAAAACCAAACGTACCTTAAAGATTACAAGCAAAAAATTTAAAAAAAAAAAAAGTACTTAATTTTAATAAATGCACAAAGTATTTATAAATGTTATTGTATCTACCGGCAGCCATCTGAATTGTGACTGTTTTGATATGAAGCGCTAATACTGATTTTACAATTTTTTGTCAACTAAGCATTAAAGACCAGATGTAATACAGATTTGTTGTAGACAATGTTTATTTTTAAACACAGAACAAAGTTTAATTTGTGAAAAGTTTTTGAAATGTACTTTCTGCACACGTCTTTGTGTTCTACCTTGCAGTGCATAGGCAAAAGATTGTTATTTACAAAGGGGTGTATTAAAATGTTTCCATGTGCTTTTGACATTTTTAAATAGATTTCTGTTTTGGGCTTTGCAAATGTGAACAGTTAATTCAGACCATATAAAATTTAAAAACGAGACCACATAATCTCTAAATAAATAGCAGCCATCCATCATGTCTCCACAAATTGTGGCTGAAGAGTCAATCTTTTCCAGTTTCAAACTTACAATCTTTAATCAGTGCATGATGTGCTTAAATCTAGAAATATTTCAAAAAATTGTCGGTGACTTACATTCAAGTTCATACAATGATATTTTTCTTTACAGCATTGTGACCAAAAAAAAAAATTAGAGCACATCAACAAAATTCTTAGTATGGCTCTCAAAGGGGAATGAATAAATAGTATAAAATCAATAATATAAATACAATCGTTAAAATATTGCTTGGACAAAAGAGAGGTGCTTCGCATGTTTGAGTCATGAAAACAGCTCTGTAGATTGAACGTGAGAACAGTTGATGAGAGACTCATGTGGGAGGGGGACCGTTGGTGTAGCGTAACATGGGGTGGAAAGAGCGGGCAAAATTGTTGGAAAAGGTGCAGCTGTAGTCGTCTTCAGAAAGAGGGACCAAGCGTGCTTTTGACATTTTTAAATAGATTTCTGTTTTGGGCTTTGCAAATGTGAACAGTTAATTCAGACCATATAAAATTAAAAAATGAGACCACAATCTCTAAATAAATAGCAGCCATCCATCATGTCTCCACAAATTGTGGCTGAAGAGTCAATCTTTTCCAGTTTCAAACTTACAATCTTTAATCAGTGCATGATGTGCTTAAATCTAGAAATATTTCAAAAAATTGTCGGTGACTTACATTCAAGCTCATACAATGATATTTTTCTTTACAGCATTGTGACCAAAAAAAAAAATTAGAGCACATCAACAAAATTCTTAGTATGGCTCTCAAAGGGGAATAAATAGTATAAAATCAATAATATAAATACAATCGTTAAAATATTGCTTGGACAAAAGAGAGGTGCTTCGCATGTTTGAGTCATGAAAACAGCTCTGTAGATTGAACGTGAGAACAGTTGATGAGAGACTCATGTGGGAGGGGGACCGTTGGTGTACCGTAACATGGGGTGGAAAGAGCGGGCAAAATTGTTGGAAAAGGTGCAGCTGTAATCGTCTTCAGAAAGAGGGACCAAGCAGGCCAGAACCAACAGCAGGAGGAACAGGAGATGCAGAGGGAAAGCCGCTCGCAGGACCCGATAGAAGAACGAACGCGGAGGTGATGGGTCACGCTTTGACCTGAAACAAAAATCTTTTTAACAACTCTCATCTCCTTTGAAACATAAATATATTTGTATACTGTGTTTATGCATTTTTGGCTAATATAGTATATCTTTTTTATAATATTCTATACTATTTAATATACAAAAAAAATAATAATAAAAGGAAAAAATTAAAATGGTTTATGTGTGTGCCACTATACCGAGAGCATTGTGCGGATTTCCTGTCTCCTGAAGCATCAGTTGTGGACTCCTGCAAACACATGACATACAAGAATTCAGCACTTCACCACAAATCAAAACTACTCTACCAGATCATATCACTCTAAATTAATAAAAATGAGCATGTTATATACTTTTGATTACAATATTATTTATATATGACAGCAACTGCCTCATCTTAGTTAATTATATTTGTTGATATGGTGGAATGGGCAAAATACTCTTAAAACAAAAATTATTTTAATTTTGTGGTTGGTGAGATTTTTTAATGTTTTTGAAATATGTCTCATATGCTCATCAAGACTGCATTTATTTAATCAAAATACAGTAAAAACAGTAATATTGTGAAATATTACAATTTAAAATAACTTTTCTATTTTAATATACTGTATATTTTGTTTTATTTCAATATATTGTAACAGCCATTATTCCAGTCTTCAGTGTCACATGATCTTTCAGAAATCATTCTAATATGCCGATTTGCTGCTCAAGAAACATTTATCAATGTTAAAAACAGTTGTGCTGCTTAATATTGTTGTAGAAGCCTTTGTGATTTTTCAGGAGTCTTTTATGAACAGAAAGATCAAAATAGAACATTATACATGTATTTACTGTTACTTTTTATCAACTTGCTGAATAATTCATTTCTTTGTTTTTTCATTTAAATCTTCTGAATGGTGAATAAAAAAAAAAAAAGAGTCTGTATGAGCTTTTATTTTAAATGCACTTCCGAGGGCTGAAAATGTTCAAGGTTTTGATCAGTACTCAAGGTTCAAACATTTTAATTGACTTATCAATTGATCTTAGGCTAAGCTCCGCCCCCTCAATCAATGGAGCATTGCAGAACATCCCATAGGAACCATCTGGGGATTTCCATGAACAGTTCCTTTTTTAGCAAAACGTGCTCATAAAGTGGTTATTTATTTAAATGAAAATTAATCATCCATGTGTTGGAATGAAGTAATACTGTAAAGCATTTTTTTTTTTTTTAAGTATAAATACAAAATGTGTTGTATCCTTAACGGGAAGTGAGCTTCCCTTTCATTTTTTTTGTGTGGTGTAAATGGATGAAGAATGTTTTGCATAACGCTCTTACAAATCTCTCTTCAATCGTCTGGAGATCCTGGTTGACTTGACGTGACAGTAGTCTTTGTTTGCTTCCAATGACGTGGAGTTTTTCCCGGGCTTCAGCGCTGTCCTCCACACCAGCCTCAGGGAGCAGCTCGGAGACGATCTCCTGCAGGGAGCTCACTCGCTTCTGTCTGCCCTGCAGCTCCTCTGCCAGATCCTGCCACCAGGGGGTGCAAAACATAAGCTCGGCACACAGATAACAACACAAACTAGAGGTCAGTCTTGATGGAGAAGCTGATGTTGTTCTGGTTTGGGTTTCTCTGACTCACCTTCAGGGTGTTCCTGTGTTCCTGAAGCATGGAGGGCTGCACAGAAGGGTCGTTCATGTTCACTGTGTAGCGTCTGCTCTCTGCATGGGCCAGCCATAGCAGTTGAGAGTGGACCATCTCGTGGAACTCCTACATGAGTGCAGATTGTCAGTGGTGAGAGAGGAAGTGTCATGTGGCATTTCCATTGAGGTTTTGTATAAATGTTTGACAGATCTCTCACCTGACAGCGTCCTAGGGTAGTGCGCAGACTGTCCTCCCACCCCTCTAGTCCCGCACAAGCTTCTGTCCAGCGGCCATTCATGCTGCGCAGACCCTCCTGAAGCTCAGGTGCTCCTTCTGTAGCTCCCTGCTGCAGCTCTCGCCCACCCAGGTTCAGAGACAGCATCATGGTCTTGTAGCGAGCAAATGACTTCTGCATTTCCTGCGCAATGTGGAACAAATTAGAGTGTGAAGACAATATCTTTTCCTTTCCAGTGTCTTTGTATTAATAATCTAAAAGATTGGCTGTAACTTTGATGCTCACTTTAAGTTGTTTGACCCTCTCTTCTAAGATCTCGACACTGACGGCAGTCTCAGGCTTCTGCAGTCTGTTCAGTTCAGGGGTGACACGATCCAGCCAGGAAGTGATGTCGTGCAGGCCAGAGGTCAGCTGCTGGGGGTCTCTGGAGCTGCACTGCTCTTTACTTACTGCTTGAGCCTGCAGCAGCTCCCAGCGCTCAATCACTCCTGCGGAGAACATGAACTTCATTAAGTGAAAGAGATATATATATGCACATCCATCCATTCTTATCCTGTCTATCCATCCACCAACCCATCCCTTTATTCATCTACTCGATCTACTCATTTTCAAACTCTCCATCCATGTATCTATCCACCCATCCACCTATTCAACCTTTCCTCTATTTTTCTATCCAACAATTAATTGACCTTATGCATTCCTATGTTTGTTTGTTCTCTTATCCACTCATCCATCTATACCCAACTATCTTTCCATCCATCCATCCATCTTTCAATTTAACTATTCATCCATCACCTATCCCTTCATTTGTCCAACCACTTATCTATAGATATCTATCTATCTACCCATCTATTTACCCAACTATTCTTCCATCAGTTTATCCACCAATTCAGTCATCTGTCTACACATCTATCTACCCAACTGTGTGCAACTATCCAACAATTCATCCAGCAATTTGTTTTTCCACCTATCCACTCATTCATCTATACCATCCATCCCTTCATTTATCTAACCACCTATCTATAGATATCTATCTATCTACCCATCTATTTACCTAACTATTCTTCCATTCTTTTATTCACTAATTCATCCATTCATTTTTATATCTACACATCTACAGAACCGTTCCTCAATTTGTCTACGCAACTATCTATCCATCAATTCATTAAAGGGATACTTCTTGCAAATGCTTGCATTAATTACTTAATTGCAATAATAACAATTTATTCAGCAATTCTTCTCCCCAAGTTACCGTCTTCTGCCATTTTGGAGAGTACCCCAGAACGTTGCTGAATAAATATTGTTGAATATTGTTTTCTTTGCGCACAAAAAGTATTCTACACTGATTACATTCTGGGGTACTCTCCAAAATGGCAGAAGACAGTAACACAGGGAGAAGAATTGCTGAATAAATATTGTTGAATATTGTTTTCTTTGCGCACAAAAAGTATTCTCGTAGCTTCGTAAAATTATGGTTGAACCCCTGATGTCACATGGACTATTTTACCGATGTCCTTGCTATGTTTCTGTGCGTTGATCGTGGTAATATCCTTGCTGTCTATGAAGGGTCAGAGAGCTCTCAGATTCCATCAAAAATATCTTAATTTGTGTTCCGAAGATGAACGAAGGTCTTACAGGTTGTGAACGACATGACGGCGAGTAATTAATGACAATTTTCATTTTTGGGTGAACTAACACTTTAATCAGTTTGTTTTTCCACCTATTCACTCATTCACCCATCAATTCCTCCAAGTCTATCCAACTATCCATTAGTCCATAAGTTTATTCACCTATCCATCTGTCTTGTTACCTATTTACAGCCCATCTATCCATCCATACGTACATCCAATTTATCTACCTATCTTCTCCTGTCTACCTAGCTATCTATCCATCCATCCATCTATCTACCCAACTATTCATCCATCCATCATCCATCATCCAATCTACCTTTCCTATCCACCAATCCATCCACAATCTACCTTTCTTATCCATCCATCCATCCATCCATAATCTACCTTTCTTATCCATTCATCCATCCATCCATCCATAATCTACCTTTCTTATCCATCCATCCATGCATGAATAATTTATTTACCTACCTATCCAACTATGCATCCATTCACTTATCCATTTCTCCATTCATCTATCGATGCATCAGTTTGTTTACTCTACTCTATCCATCCATCCATCCATGAGGTGGCATGATGTAATTATATGCTATTTTGATAAGAAGCCTTCATGCTTTTAGATTCAACTAAATGAAATGACAAGTAGTCCCTTGCACATGTGATCTGCGTCAGTGCCTGTTCCCGGCTATTTGTGAAGAGTCTTATTACATGACTCACGCAGGACGAGTACCAGACAGACATCCTCATGTCCCTCTGTGTTGGTCTAAGTGTCCGTACCTGACTGTTTGTCTGCAGTGTTGAGGCCAGTGAGGCCTTGTTCCTCCTGCTTTTCCTCATCATCCAGGATCATAGAAACCCGCTTCACACTCTTAATGCTCCCGCTGCACTCAGACATCAGCTGGACCTGCACAGTGCACAAATACATGCACCATTATAATCACCCTTCATGCAGGAACTACACGTTTATGCTTTCAAAGTCTGCCTGAGGAAGAAGACAACTTGCAAATTTGGTATTTATGAAAGTGCTGGATTAAGAAGGAAGGGGTATATACTCACGTAGCCTTGTTTAAAAGGAGTGCTGGCGTGTGTAGGTGAGGAGGAGTCCAGCTGGAAGGATTTCCTTTCAGGTGTGTTTTGAAAGTGCCAATTCTGTGCTGTGAGTTTGTGAGAGAGGGAGAGAGATTTAACTCACTGCTCAAAACAGGCTACTTCATTTGGGATGTGATGACAGAAATGGACAAAAGAAGTGGAATTATTTAGCTTTTGCAGGGATCATGAGGAATCAAATCAGACATTAAACTGACAGAGGCTGTTATTGTAGGATAGTGAAGTTGGAACTATATTGAATCCAAAAGTAAAGTGTCTTAATGGACCAAAGCTGTTACTCAGAGGCAAAATTGCTGTTTTTTTTAAAGCAGAAGGGCAAAACCAGACCATTTATTCTAAGGATAAGAGAGCATCAAAAATGTCATGAAAACATAATAAAATAATAATCACGAAATAATAATCATGTTATTGCAATGAAAAACAATTATAAGTGGATTTCAGGAAAAAAAGTTCTAAAAAAAAATCAAACAAAAGCATCAAACAAATATTGTCATGTACGCTTCTCCAGTAATGAGCAAAGCTTCAAGAGTGTGCGGTTTAGATAAATGAATGTTATTATCTTCTGCGTGAGCATGAAAGCTCTAGAGGGGGATAAGCAGGTGCACTGAGCCATGTGAGAGGAGGGGATGCAACCTTCCTGTGCCCTCTCTTATACTCCCTGAGATCTGGACATGCCCAGCTCTCAACCCTCCTCTTTACCAACAGAATCTCCCCACAGGCCCAAGTCTTTCATGATAAGAGCACATAGCAGAACAGGGTGAAGGGAGGACGCTTGCATCTTTTGATTTGAGAGAAAGTTCTGCGCTGAAAAGAAAAATACCAGGCCTTTGATGATCCAGCAAACCCAGTCTATTCATAAGCATACCGACAGTGATGTGGGAACAAGACAGGATGGATGGATGGATGGATGGATGGAGGGAGGGAGGGAGAGGGAGAGAGGGAGAGAGAGAGAGAGAGAGAGAGGGAGAGAGAGAGGAGAATTATGTGGAAAGAAAGTAAGGAGAAACTGAACAGATGTAAATGCAATACACCAAAAAAAATGAAATAAGATTTTGCAGTAATGCACAACTAAAGCCAAGTGCACATAAAGGGACATGGAGGCCAACCTAAAGGCTCTTCCAAAGACTTCTTTGTCACCTCAGATGAGAATTCTGTGATTTCTGTGACCTCTAAATCTGGAGGGAGAGAAAATGAATGGCTAAACTAGTAATATGACAACCCGTTCCAGCAGTCAGAGTCCTGGGAAAAAGTCTCAGCCTCAGACAATGTGCCAACGGACATAAAACTGGCAAGAGCTGGTTAAAATGGTCAGTTGCAATCTGACAGCTAAAACATTTATTTGAATTATATCTGACTCCAGATTTAGGCTTATAAAAAAATCATGTGGTTACCAGAAAGAAAGTCAGTTGGCCTTTTGTCAAAGCTGGAGATTCATGGCTTTATCAAGTTACTCAAAAAAAGTCTGGTTACATAAACGTGTGGTGAAATTAGCAAACTTTTAGTGAAATTTTGCAGGTAAAACGGCCCATTGAAGAAGTTACTTTCAAACCAAGCAGCATTCTGTTGGTCAATGTGACGAAACCATGGGACCAATTTGAACCCATTGTAAAATCTTTCACCTTCACGCAGAATTCCTGTTGAAATGACTGGATTTCGCTGAACAACAGTAAACGTGACCATACCTGACAGGGCAGAGAAGAAGGCAGCATCCTCTTCCTCATCGTGTGAATTAGAGCCACCAACATCCCCGGTGTGGTCCCACTCCAGAGGGATGGAATCCACACTCACGGGGGTTTCACGGCCCGGGCGCTCCTGAGGTGGCGATAACAGGCACATGGAGGGCTGGCTGGAGGAGAGGGTGCCCTGTGTCCCTCTGGACTGTTCACCATCAAAGACGTCCAGCTGCTCCTGCAGCTGCTTCAAAGAGAAAATACTGTCATTCATGCATTCATACTCCTATAACATGGCCCATATAAAAAGTTATTTGCACAATTCTACTACATTTGTCACTGTAAAAAGATGTTTAAAGAAATATACACTACCCTTTAAAAGTTTGGGGATTTTTAAAAAAGTTTTTTTAAGTCTCCAAGAGACTTAACAGTACAAATGTTAATATTGTGAAATAATTATTACAATTTATATATATTTTTTCTATTTAAAAAAAAAGCTGAATTTTCGGCAGCCCTTACTTACTAACCTCAAACTTCTGAATGGTAGTTTAGCACAAACACTTTTCAAGAAAGCTAATTCGCAAAAAGGTTCAAAAGGGTCTCAAAATATCCAAATACATTTAGAACCACAATATGTTACATAAGACAATGTAAAAAAATGTGAGCGTTTATAATACCGGGCGGAGACTGGTGAAGCGCTGGTGGAATCGGGCCACTCTGCCAAACACCTCTTGACAGTACGTGTGCAGTTCCTCTAACTCATCTTCTATCTCAACAGCGTCTTGAGGACAGCTCCTCTGAATCAGACCCTCCCCAAACACGATCAGAGCATCAATCTTATTGGTGTTCAGAGTGATCTCCTTCTTAAAACTCTGGAGAGTAAGAAAGTTCAGTTAAATTCTGTCATCATTTATTCTTTCTATCTATAGACTAAACGTCTTCATTTCAAGGAAACACTGTTTATTAACCTTCAGCTGTTTCATCTTGTCTTGGAGATGGCTCTCTGAGAAGTTCTCCACATTGGTCAGCTGGAGGTCTATCTCAGTCAGCCAGACAAGGAGGCTCTCACGGGTTCCCTCAAACTCTTCTCTCTGGCTTGTGAAATGCTAAATGAGAAAAAGAGGTTCATTTATGCACTCAAGCAAACATAAATGCACAGGTGACATGAAAAAAATAGTGTGTCCGTGTCCTCACTCTGAGTCTGCGCAGGATTGCAGTCACTCTCCTCTGGAGCGTGTCCCATCGCTGGTTCCCATGATGCACCATGGCCCTGAGTCTGCTGGCTGCATCGGCACGGTTCTCCCGCGCCAGTCGTCTGTACTGGTTATTAATAATCTCCAGCTGGATCAGGCTCTCATGTACCTGCCTTTGGAAAACCTAAAACAACAAATCAAACACTACTAACTATGACCACAAACTGCTATTACTGTATACTCTATTAAATTAATTAAATTAATATTCAAAAATATCTACTTTAACACTCCATTTCCATGCAAATAGTGAGTGTTTTTAACATTTCTGAAGTCATGCATGAATGACTAAAACATTCAGTAAATTAAAAACTACAGACAGGCCATAGACGATAGGGCTGTGCAATTAATCGCATGTGATTGTCATGCGCATCTCGTCAGTAAAGCCGGTTCCGTGATTGGTAGTAAATCGCCATCACCTGCTTTCAGATGGAGCGACATTTACTACACAGAGCCGTAGTTCACTGACAAGCTAGGCAATATTGCGATCATAATCGAATGCGATTCATCTGCGGTTATGAACGCGATATTGCCTAGCTTGTCAGTGAACTACGGCTCTTGTGTAGTAAATGCCACTCCATCTGAAAGCAGGTGATGGAGATTTACTACCAATCACGGAACCGGCTTTACTGACGAGATGCGCATGACAATCGCATGCGATTAATTGCACAGCCCACACTGTCAATAGATGACTGCTTGAGGAATCTGATATTCCCTTAATCGTACTGACCGTGTTCCTAAAACATCAGGATTGAACATTTGACTTGCACTAAATGATGTAAACATAATGGTCCAGTAGCACAGCCATTCGAAGGCTCTTAGTTAAGCATTTTGTTGGAATCAAACCTCATATTTCTGGAGTTCCTCTTTGGCGTCAGTGTACGTTCTGTCTGATGAATTGGGTTCAGCAGCGGAGCGCTCTGCTACGTTCAGCCAGTCCTCAAAGGAAGAGTAATCCTCCTGAAACTTACACCACAGTCTCCATGTCTCCTCAATCCTGCAAACAGACATAAGTAATTAAAAACAAATAGTCTGTTATATAAATGTATATTTAAAATGAAATCATAATAATAAACAATGTAATTTAATACTTTAATACTCAATGTGCATGTGTGCACTTGAAAATACATTAATTTATCTGTACTGTAATTCATGTTATGCTTATTTATCAAATATATGATGTCATCTTCCTCAAAAGCATAATCTGTTCAACTCAAATGTTTGGTGAGGTTACAGGGGCATTAAAAATGAACACATTTTATCATGCAAAGCAAGTCTCTTGCTCAACAGGGAGCTGTGAATCTTAATCAGGAAAGCAGTTTCTTAATCTTGAAATTTCCTTCCATAAAGGAATGCAACAGAATGACTAAACATCTGTGAGCAGTGATGGTGTGTTTCAGATTGGAGTCATCTGGATAAATGGCCATACCTCAGCCTCCTCTCCAGAGACATGGAGCAGATATTTCTCCAGCGCTTGTCCAAGCGCTGCGTGGTCTGCTGGATGGAGTCATTCTCTCCATCGCTGCTGCTGCAGGCATCCTCATCGCGCAGAAGCACGTCACACAGGGTGAGCACAGATGCCACTCTCTCGGTGTGCTGCTCGATGTCACGCTGCAGGTCCTAAACATGCACACATATGTTAAAGACATACTTGACACTTTATCAAACAGTTGAAAGATAAGTTAGCTTATTTTCAACCAGCTTTGTATTGTTATAATATCAGTAGTATATGTAAATAAATAATTGTTACAGAACAAACTTCCACATATTTGGTAATCCTGCCCATGGACAGTAAGACTGACAAATCAGAAGTGCATTGTGAATGTTTTAGTTTTTTGGCAAAAGGGAACGCTGCAGCCCTTTTTCTGGTTTCAAAATGTTTTCACGTTTACACCGTTTTATTGAAAGCTCAATGAATTAGCCCTTTAAACAGTCTGTATATCATGAAAAAGAATAATAATTCATTTCAATTACAGACAATTAAAATAATAAATTATTATTAATAAATTAATCGAAATTTGATTAATAAAAAAAAACATTCCCTAACAAGTATTTTTAATTTCCAGAAAGAAAAAAAAAATCACAACATTCCTCAAACAAGACAAATTCACCTGATAAGAAAACTAAATTATATTAAGGATTCTTTTCAGACAATATGTAACCCAGGACCACAAAATCAGTCATAAGGGTCATTTTTTTTTAAAAATTGAAAGCTGAATAAATAAGCTTTCCATTGATTTGTTAGGATAGGACAATATTTGGCTGAGATACAACTATTTGAAAATCTGGAATCTGAGGGTGCAAAAAATTAAATGTGATTTTCTCAATTTTTAAAAAAAAATTTTTTAAGTTGTCCAAATGAAGTTCTTAGCAATACATATTACTAATCAAAAATTAAGTTTTCTTTTCAGACAATATGTAACCCAGGACCACAAAATCAGTCATAAGGGTCTTTTTTTTTTTTAAATTGAAAGCTGAATAAATAAGCTTTCCATTAATTTGTTAGGATAGGACAATATTTGGCTGAGATACAACTATTTGAAAATCTGGAATCTGAGGGTGCAAAAAATTAAATGTGATTTTCTCAATTTTTAAAAAAAAATTTTTTAAGTTGTCCAAATGAAGTTCTTAGCAATACATATTACTAATCAAAAATTAAGTTTTGCTATATTTACGGTAGGAAATTTACAAAATATCTTCATGGAACATAATCTTTACTTAATATCCTAAAGATTTTTGGCATAAAAAAAATCTATAATTTTGACCCATACAATGTATTGTTGGCTACTGCTACAAATGTACCCCAGCAACTTAAGACTGGTTTTGTGCTCCAGGGTCACATATATTTGGAATAAGTTGTTGCATTGGCAGAATTTTTCAGAATTTGTTTATGCATAAAAAAAAATTAAATAAAAATGTGCCAGTCCCAAAAGACAATACACACTTACACTAATCTACAATCCAGTATTTCAGCCAATTAAATCTTCTATTATATAATTTTTTTAAATTTGTGATTTGCTGACCTGTTGCTCAGCCAGTCTCTTTTGGATCTCATCTCTATGGCAGATACTGTAGTGAATGGGTTTGGCCAGCTCAGCTTCAATGCGAGTGAGCCAACAGCGAAGGTTATTCATGTTCTTATCCAACTGCTGCACTGTCACCAGCGTTTCTGCCAGCTTTTTCACCCTGAAAGAGAGAGAGATTGCATATTCATTTTGATTCCAGAGCATTATCAAATAGACCATTTTGGAAAAAAACTTGTGATAACAAATCTTCTTGGACATTTTGATGAAAACCTGAATGTGTCCAAAAGTCTTTTATAACCTCCACTAGATTAAAATGTATTTTCTGTGACAAAGTAAGTCATTTTTTAAAGAAAAGCACTAACCCCTTTATAAATCAGTCAAGTGACCGCTTTCTTTGGAATCTGAGACTGTGTAGTTTGGAAGGAACCCAATGAAATCCTGTTAAAGTTTGGTTACTACACTTGACGTGAAACCCAACCAAAGAAAAAGGTCTGATAAGCCCAGGTCAGATGACACTGAAACACAGACAAAGGGTGTTCGAACCATTTAAGTGTGACAGTGTGAAACTTCTCGTTCTGTTGTCTGATTGACCGCATGGCCTCACAAACTGTCTGAGCAGCCATACCTGCAGATGGCCGGCTGTGTGATTATAGCGTGCCTGAGTACATACTGTCCCCCTGGCCCCATTGTGCCCCTGTTCATAAGAGATAATATGAGGTGACAGACCATTGTCCCCCACCACCCCCTCCCAGCTATACAGTGGGACTAGGACAAACCATACAAGCCATATGGCAAAGCTGAAGCCAACGACACTAGTGAGGGCTACGTTAATTCCCCCCTCCTTCAGTATTAGCACCATCTGGCTGCTTCAGAACACGTCACACCGCAGGACTGACCAATTACATGAGAGGCTGGTGACATCGTAGACAAGATTGGAAAGCATGGAGTTGTTTGTTTGCTTGCTTAGGACCACCACCTGATTCATATACTCGGTATGTGCAAATTTCCAACTGACTTAATGAGATTATGATTATTAGAGCATATGCCAGCTGTGGTAACCATCCATAGTACTGAAGATCACATCAAATTCTGAAGATATAAATGAGTACATGGAGAAAAAAATAAGTAAATTAGTTCTATTAGTGGGGAAAGCTTGCTGTAAATTGGCAAGGAGAAATTAATAATATGATATATTCTAGCATATCTACTATTAACTGAACTTAGCGCAAGTCATCTATAACACTGGGACATAGAAATATGACATTTCCTAAAAATAATAATAATAATAATAAAATATTTTTAAAAATAGTCTAGCGAGGCAACTTGCTCCACATTAGGGGTGAATTGCATCCAGGGTCAGGCTGAAACATTGGGGGACACGTGAATGATTTCATTTCAATGTAAATGAGACAAAAAAAATTCTAAAGTATTTTTAGAAAGCAGTGAGGAAAAGGTTTAATATTCATAATGTTTCAATATAGTGAACGAGTTTTAAACACTTTAACAGTACCAGTGTTATTTTGGTATAATTTATACACAATTATAGTATTAATTTATATTTTGAATTAGCTTTTATTTTTATATTGAGTTTTCATTTTAATTGTAGTTCTTTTTTTTAATTAATTTTGTTATTTGCTTTTGTCATTTTTATACTTTTTTTTTTAGTTTTTTAGCTTTAGTTTACTTTTTAAAATGTACTTTTTAAAAGTAATTCTAGTACTTCTTGAACATTATTTTATTTAATTTTATTTCAGTTAGTTGCCAAGGCAACGTTTTAATTCGTTTAAACTTTGTTTACAAAAGCTTACAATTATCAATTTTTAACTTAATTTTTATCTTTACATTTTATTTTATCTTTTGGTTAATAACAACATTGAACAGTAATTGCAATAATAATAATAATAATAATAATCATAATAATAATTCAATATTCAGGGGTTAAAGCAAAAAAAAATCCTGAGCCTGAACTTTTTTCCAGGGGTTGGGGGGGCGGACACATACACAGGGTTATTTGGCAAACAAAAAAAGAAAATGATTTTCGTTGAAACTAACTAGTAACGTATCTGCCATTGCCATTAGCCCTTGACAGGCTCAGACTACAGATTATGGTGGGACGCGCCGTCTGAAACGTGTGTGCGCTTCATGTGTGTGCGGCTGTGCGCGAGAACAGCGCGCGAGTAACGAATCGAGTTCCCTTTCGCCTTTTCTCTCTGGGATTGTTTAAAATTCGCTTGCTTGTGTAAATACGAACAAATGATAAACTTATACTCTATTATGGTTAAATTTTGCAATTAATCCGCGGAT